TTTTGTATATAAAATTTTTGATATAAGTTTTTTCATGTCAAAGTTAGTATTTAAGGTAGAATTAGAGTTTAGAAAGGGCACAGAATGTTTTTATTTAAAATAACTTATACCAATTAATTAGTTTTTGAAATAGTATATAAAAAGGTGTAAAATACCATAGGTACATTTTAATAAAAAGTCTTATCTAAAAACATAAAATTAAAAAAAATTACAATAATATTACTTTCACTTTTTTTTTACTTGTTTATCAGTATACCCAATTATATCATCTAGCTGAACTATATATTGATCTTTATCACCATTTTCGAAAATAATATCTACAATAACTTTACTTTCACTGATAGTTTATACTATTTTTACCATAGGCAAGGTGTGTCTAAAACAGTATCTCGAAGCTGAATAGTTTCTCCTGGCACCAATCAACTTTTTCTCTTATTTTTAGAACCTCTTTTTTCAGGTAGTTTGAGCTTATCTTTATTGTGACTATTAGCATCTTTTTGATGAATATAGGACTCAAGAGAGCTACTTGCAACTGATTTGGCCACAGACCTATATAGAAGTTATATTAATAGTATTATTAAATTAATTGCTACTAATCTAAAATTCTTTATTTCATAGATACAATCAATAAAAAATTTATTTAATATACATATTTCATATACAGATTGCCCCGTTAATATCAACCTATTTGGATAGACAATTATATTGATATATGTGAAGATTGATAATAGCAGGATAATTTTTATATAGCCTAGGCCTATTTTTTTTTAATAAGAGGTTAATATTAATGAGGTTGATATTAACGGAAGTGACCTGTACTATAATTATTGTGCATTTATTATAACAAGAAAAAGAAATCAAATAAATAAAAATTTCTATTACCTGGATTTACTATGAGGATTAAAAGTGCTATAAAAGAATGAATTAGAAATATTAATATATAGAAAGAATTAATGTGTAAAAAAAAAATAATAATACTTTTGTAATTCGGAATTATCAATGAATAATTGAATAGCTACAATATCCTAACAATCGTGACCACAAATTACATTAAAGCTGCATAGACAAGCAAATTTTTTACTTCTACATGTAATACACAATATTTTTTTCTGTTGCTTATTATTGCAATTGTTAATTGGGTTAGAAATCTTTAAATTAAAGTTTTTTTTCACTGTCATTATCCATTTCAGTATATTGGGTATTAATATTTATATCGAACCATAACACATTCCAGGTATTCAGATCAATTTCTAAAAAAGTTAAATGCACAAATAACAAATACAGTACAATTAACCTTATCTCAGACTGACAGTTCTTATAAAGTAATTTTCTGTTTTTTTATATATGAACCTACAATAAATTTTAAAAATTAAAGTTCAGATATTATATCAATTCAATATACAACTCACTCTCATTATAGTAAACTCTCGATATAGTGAAGATTCGATATAATGAAAATTCGATATAGTGAAGAATTTTAAATTATAAAATTATTAAACTTCAACTCAATATAGTGATGTAATATATTATTCTCTCGATATAAGTTATAGTGAAGATTTATTTTTTTCATCCAGACAATTTAACTATAATGAGTGAGTTGTATAAAGACTTAACACAAGTATATTTATCTTTAACAAGGTTTTTTTTGCATAATCTAACCAATTACCTACACGCACCTACAGGCGATCATGCCGCACCAGAGAGGTACGATCAATCATCT